ATGATGATGATGATGATGATGATGATGATGATGATGATGATGATGATGATGATCATTTTGCGATGATAATGGCGATGATAATGGCGACGGCAGCAGCGATGGTGAAGTAAATGTTACAGATTCTTAGATGTTGTTGCTACTGTCGTTGCTAATATCATCAGTGTCATCGAAGTGTTGCCGTGTAATTTTAGACAATTCGTTAAAATTTCAATAAGATTCTGATAAAGAAAAAAACCAGGGTTCAAATAATTTCAAAACACGAGTATGGTTACATAAAAGCATAGAGATGAAACAGGCCGTGACAAAGGGGAAATTGCTGTAATTATGTTTGCATGCGCGCACACACTTTTTGTGCGCCTATGTATTTGTCTGCGTGGATCATCCAGTCGTAATCCGACCATCCATCTCTTAAAGTTCTGCGGCCCGAGGTAAGCCGATTACAAGCCCTTCCAATCTGTTCAGGCATGCATGCATGTACTTCTCTAACGAATACCGATTTCTTAGCTTCTCTACCGCTCAATTATTTGCAGTTACCGTTGTTAACTCTTTAAAGGCCTAATAATTATGTATTTAGTTGCGTCTTTAAGTGATTGTTTGTCAAATTAGGTGGTTGGTCTACTGGAAAAACGCATCGGAAGAGTTAATGGGTAGTTTCGTGATAAGTTTTTTGTGAAAGCTGAAAGGCTGTTACCCGGTAGCCGGTAGCGCAGTTGTTATTGATGTTATACTGGGGTAGGATGTGAATGAAGCTGCCCCCCCCCTCCCAAACCCAGTTCAGTGCAACTGACTGAAGTGTCTTTGGGCCATTCCCAAAGGGGGATATTAACATGTTCTTATGCACAGTATAATATTAAATTGGCTGAATTATCAATGTCATGTTCGTACTCTGCAGGACCAATGGGGGAATTTGCTGTTTTTGTTTTTTCTTTCCTTATCCTTACTATTGTCATTTGTCGTCTACTTCTTTTATGTGTTGGTCTCTCTCTTGTGAACTGCTATTTCGGTGGTGCCTTGATAGTCCAAACAAACGTTGTGCTGTTATGGCTAGAGAGGTGACCAGAGTAAGCCTGATTCCCCGTTTGGACTTCTATGTTGATATCCACCTCTTGGTGCACATAATATGACCTTACGCAGTTGCGAGCGCCGTAAAACCTTTCTAACACTAAACTAAAGAAGCTGGTTATGATCGCCAATGGTGCGTTTCTGATGGACGGTAGGCCGAGAAGTTGTTAAATAAAAATGGTGAAATTATATAGGTTTGACGCCCCTATCAACACTATTTGGTTATTTAAGAGGCGGGGCCTCCTAGTTTAACGTCCGTCTCCGAAAGGACAGAGCCGAATTTGAAATTCGTGTAAAGTGTCTTTCCCAAGAACACAACGTTGGATCGAGCTGAGCTAAGGTTCGAACCCCAAACCCGCAATCTCACGATTACGAGTCCGGTAGCTTAGCCTCTAGTTGTCAGAACTTCTAACAAACATAGCTGGGTTTGATCGAAAATGGATGTTAGATTCGGAGGCTGCTCAAGTTAGATTACGTTATACAGTTTAAAAGTACGTCATAACATCTTCCCCGCACAAATAGTTGTTGTTGAATAACAATGCAATAAAGAACTTCATGATAGTATCATATAAAAAGTATCGTATCATGTCATGACTTAAGCGCTCTTCAATTTGGGGGCATATAGAGTAATTTATATTACCGTAAAGTTTCTTCATGTATGTTGCTTTAGGTGAAAAAAAAATACCCATCTATCATGAAAAGAAGACGAAATAATCACGGTTGAAGGGGATGGGGTTGCTTGTTTTCAGAGGTAAAATTAGAGAGAAATAGCCGCACTATTTGGTGTTTTCTCAAACATGACAGTACCATAATTAAAAGTGCAATATGACAAATTTACCTCGGCATTTTTTCCCCACGATTTTGATGAATGTCCAAAAGGACAAATTGTCTAAGATGACAACAATTTTACTCGACATTCTGATCGTTTTGAGCAGATTCTACTCCACTGTTTTTATTAAATGTACCATACCACTCATTAATTTAGAACGAAACAATAAAACTCTTTCCGTTGCAAGAACCG